TAGCCAGTCTAGATCAGTCAATCTTTGATATATTGATAGCCTATCAAATATATCTTCGAACCTCCTCGCTTCTATCTTTTGATTTCACTTGGTGGGTATGATCCATAGTAGGTGCTACTGGTTAAATCGTTGTCAAACTCAAAATATCTGGGGCATCTTCATTATATTAGAATTCTGAGACTGCTAAATATCTATACTCTACAGCGTTTTAGAAGTTTATAATTGTTATAAGTCACATATAAAGGGCGCTTGGTATGAGCTGTGACTTTAAAGAATGGGCACGTTAAGTTTGTTTCCGGCGTTCAAAGCTCCATAGAGGTGCTGCCAGCTGCTCTTGCTAGAGTAAAATATGGCTAGAGCCTTTAGATAAGAGAACACAGTGGTGAAGAACAATGAGCTGTGATACGCAATAAGGTAGATCGGATTCAAATGATGGAGGTAGAGTCGAAAATATAATAAAGAGGGCTGTCTATTAGGATGGAAAGTGAATCGAAAAAGACTAAACTGTTAAGAAACGTTAATAACTATAGCCCTTATTGTCCTTTTTTAATCCTTCTTTTTATCTGACGCCAACCACTAGGTAATAATATAAAATTTTGAGTAAGTATGTCATAGTTTATCTTAGTAGGATAGCGGAATAAATATAAAACTGGAAACATGAGTCTAAGTAGTGAGCATAGGCGAACAATATCAGTAGCACTGAGTGGTCTCTTCTTTCTCTAAAACGAACAAAATATTCCGCTCTACAAATATGAGTGGATTGGAGTAAATGCCTTCACCATCAGTAATTTCACTCTTCTTCCTTTTGTGATGTTAGACTCATTAAAGGTTTATTTGTGGGTGACACGTTATATCTCATCTGTTACTCTATGTTCCACATCCTGTTGGGAAGCATTATTTCTAAAATTACAATTTTACAAGCCTATCAGGCATTTACAAATTATGAATTGTCAGTAAGGCATCGACGTAATGATTTAGGTGAATATGGAATAAATTATGGGTATCTAAACAAGGTATGATAAATTTTTATTCACAGTAAGTGAAAAAGTTTGGGAACACAATGGTCATAAATAAGGCAATGGGTAAGGAATAAACGTTAGTGGTAAGTCAACAAAGTGTAGGTGAAAGTAGTAGGCTGATGTCAAATAAACAAGAAGGAACCTACATCAGCTTGGTGCTGATGAGATTTTGTGCCATCCTAAACAAAGCAAGCGTTTGATTCGACCGGTTGTTTACTGGTAACCTATTCCAGAGGCTTGATTTGTGTGCGAAAAATAAAGTTAATCTTAATTTGCTTGGTGTTCCTTATATCTTATGCGTAAAGTCCTGATTTTGAAGGTTATAATAAATATTTTCCTCAAATTTTAGTATATCACAATTCACTGCAGTTTTGTTACAGAACATTTTGAAAAGTAAGGTAAGGATGAGTTTAATTCGTCTTTACCATAAAGGATCTCATTTTCATGCTCCATATGCTCAACATAATAGTTCTAGCGTGAGGAGTCTTGTAAGGTGTCGTTGTACTTTTACAATTTTTTGCCGGTCTAGGGAGCGTATGCAACTGGGCAGTATTCTAGTAGAGGACGAACACATACCATATGTAGGATCAGGCCCATTGCGCCAGGGCGGTACAATTTACGCTGATAATACCGGATCCTTACAGTGACACCCTAATTTCAGTCTTCTGAATGTTGAATGCGTATTTAAATATAAATATTCCTGGCCGGGCGAGCATCGCACTGTAAATGAAGGAAGCTCAGACCATGAAGCACCAAGTCGTGACTGGAATGGAGTGTCTACAACATTGCATTTGCGTAAATTACACTTAAGATAAGCGTCGAGTTTTCTTCCGAATTACGAGCTATAATCCTTTTCATTCCCTGGAAATTAGTATCTTCGTTAATGAATAGTAGCTGGTGCTCGAAGAGGATCAAACGCGATCAACATTCAGAGGCCACCAATGTTGTCACTGAGAGATGAACCCTGACAGATGCTCATGGGCTCTGTGAGGGTCGAATAATTCCAATATCTAGCGTACTGTCAAATACGCTTTTCATCAGTCTAAGGTTTTTACAAGCTAGTCGGTCGCTTTTTAACAAGGCACGTCGTTCTCAGATAGTAATGCGATACATAAAACCACTGGTTGTGCATCTTACCTAGATGATGAATTTGGTTTATTTATAATTTCAACCTCTATTTTTAGACTTAATTTTTACTCTTAGTTCGTTTTTTCGCTTTCAGAGTTTAGTAGACCTAAATTTTAGGGAGGGGGTATTCTGATGTGCTTGGAAGTTCCTATTTGGCTGCAGGACTTACTTGGTCCTTAGATTTTTTGGTTCGATTTCGTAAATCTGTTGACGATATGCATTTCAATGATCTTGAAAACTCGAATGTAACTATATGTACAGGTAACAGACTTGTGTAATATCCTTAATGAGGCAAAATAAGTGGCTGCTTCTATCGGCTGTGGTTGTCACTGTCGCGTTTAACTGCAGTCGCTCCTCAAGATGGACGTCTTGAGTCTGAGAAAATTTCAGGGACGTTTCTACGTCCATATTCTGGAGCCTACAATAATGGGAGTTGCCATGTCTTACAGAGGCTAAAGTGATGGATGCAAATCAAGATTGAATGAGTCAAATGGACAGGAAATGGAAAAGGAAATGACTATTTACTGTATCATATCAAGTCCCTTACTTGATGAGTAAAGTTTATTGATGCTAGTCTTTTGGATCGTGCGAAACCAGAACACTGTTGGTTTTTGTCTCGTGATCAAATTTAAGGATTCAGCCAGAAAATCCTGTAACCTTGCGACTAATTCAGCCTACATTTCTTGTAAATTTAGCTATGTGACCTCGTCTGCTTGCTCATTCGGTGATTCGGCTATAAGTGTCAATCTAGGTTTCTTAGAGCAAGCAGACAAATCTTGTCTTAATAACGTCTGTTTTAGTTGTTGCCAGATCTGCGTCCACCACCTCGTTACTTCGTCTAATCGGTGGCTGAAAAGTGGATAGGCGAAATCTGCTGATTTAAATTGGTTTTATTCCGAAAAATGAAGCCGATTTGAGCAAGAGTTACCATCAGAATTCCTATATCTAACGTTAAATAACTGTTTTTATCGGTTGCGACCCGTATAAACGTTTCGCATTTCTCGTGTTCTCTAATGTTTATTTTGGGTTAGCCGCACTTTCGACTAGACTTTCAGTGGCAGTTGACGATGTTTTGATCTGACCTTTATTCCATCTTCCGAACTTGAGCACTTGAGTAGCAGTCTCTGCAAGACCTTCGTAATTAGCAATGAATTATGTTATAAATGAGTCTTTCGGTAACTCTCCATTGTGTTTGCAACGAACTGCAAGATATACTAAATAAGGTAGAGAAGGATCTTGGTTATATGGTTTCAAACTGTTTTGAGAGCGACGAAGGCTAAATCGAAACCAATCGTGATTAAAACCGCTCTGCACACTATGTTTTCGTCCGTCAAAATTTAGTGTAGCAAGAACTGATATGGTGATTTACTACCACTAATTAAAGTTTTCACTTGGAAGAGTTTGAGAACACTCCAACTGTACAACAAAACAGGGGGTTCCTTATTTGTCATCACATACTTGACACACCTTGAGGTGCCGGAAATCTTCTCTCAGACTTCCATAGTAGGTAATAAATATTTGTACCACACACCTAATTTGATATCTGCAGTTCAAATAAGGATCTGTCTGAGCGAGCTAAAGTATGGGGTCAATCCAACAGTATATCAAGAATCTCGATTTCATAATTACAGCCGTGTATATCTCTGCAGTGAGACGCTATGATTTGTTTGCTGACCGTCTTTTTGTACCATGTCTGACATCAAATGAAATACAATAAATGTCACGATGAGAATTTGACCGGAAACTTGTATTTACTAGTGTCCTGGGGGCTGCGTCGTGGTGAGAGTTGTGTATGGATATAGATAACATTAGAAATTGCGAAGATTGATGTGATAGTAAATATATAAACTCTGTGATCGGAACAAGCATGAAGTAATGCATCAAGTGGCTCCGAACTCATTGTGATGCCTTTATTCTTGTAGTAGGTTTAGTCGACTGATTTTTATCTGCAAGCTGGGGCAAATATGTTCGTAGAAATTCTTGGTTCTAGCCTTACCATTAGCCTATGGCCTTAACTACTTCCGTGTTTCCCCCTGATCTGATAAATAATTTGGAACTTTTAGTTGATCGTCATTGTATTCTTTCATGGATTAGGCGAAACAACCATGGATTGTGTTCCGACATCCAATAGTTCCTTAAGATTGTAGGCAAAATTTTTTCTTAATTTAGAATCTTGTCGAGAGCTCAATTTTTTCAAAATCTTAAATTCTTACTTTCCACAAGCATGATCTGGTAAGGAGGGACGTTTTCCCTCGAAACGGACAAGGGATATCAGGGATATTCAGTGTTTGACAACGCTGTTTTCGTAGAACCCTTATGATCGTAAGACCCCTGAGACAATCAGACCAGAGGCCGGTATTGAAGGAGTCAGAAGGTGCGTTTGGAAGTTACTCGATATGCCCAGAACTATATGACCTCTACTGACCAGTCTCGAAGGATGTGGATGCTTGACCGAAAAATCTTGACAAGAGTGTGTCTATTAAGGCTAATGAGGCCAGAATCAGTCTTCGAGACTTACGAAACTACTTATATCGAAGATTTATATATCGCTACAGCCCACCAACCTTACAAGTGTATTCATATTTTAAGTTTTTTTTCGCGTTATTGCAATGTCTGATCCTGCAAACGATATTCGGAGGCTAAGTTTCTGATATTCGTACAACTTGTACACTTCGCTATTTGTCACAATGATTGTTTAATAAGACGATACGTGAACGGTGTTTCAACAGACCTTTGAGTATGTATTTGTTAAATTTACATATATAAAGCAATTCATAGGTAATCAATCTCATCCTATATTGCAATACGAGACTTTTTATGGAACATACTTTTCACGTCATACGTACAATACTTGTGTTTGACTAAGCTTGGATGTTTCGCTACTTGATTTGGTACCCTAAGTCTTGTAAGGCCTGAATGACATTTCTGGTGTTTAGATGTCTCCAACTCCTCCATCCAAACGACAAAAAATACTGACCTCTACAGAAAACAACAATAACAATTTTCATTCAAATACCAGCAACAACTTGTCAAACGTAAGTTGTAAGCTAGAATAATATAATTCTTTTACAGGGGATGGAAGCTAACGGAGAAGTTCCTGATTTGGACGAAAGTCTTTATAGTCGGCAGCTTTATGTCTACGGGGCTGAAGGCATGCGCCGAATGGCAACAACAGACATCCTAGTTATTGGCCTGGAAGGACTTGGGCTCGAGGTCGCTAAAAATATCATCCTAGCTGGAGTTAAATCTGTAACGTTGTGTGATGACACTCCATTATGTATAGCTGACCTCACATCTCACTACTTTGCGGACCTTAATGACATAGGTCATCCACGTGCTGAAATTTGTAAGAATAAGTTAAGCGAGTTGAATAATCATGTGTCTGTCCGCGTGTTAAACAAACATAAACTTGGTGCTGAAGACTTTAGGAAGTTTAGTGTAGTGGTGCTGAACCAGGGATCTGAGGACCTGTGTGTGGAGTATGGAGACATTTGTCGGAGTTTAGGTGTCAAATTCGTCGTTGCTTCAACATGCGGACTTTTTGGCAAAGTGTTTTGTGACTTTGGGACAGATTTTGTAGTGTATGACCCAACTGGTGAAGTTCCATCTTCAGTCATGATTCAGCAAATAGAGAAGGTAAAGTGTTTTCTCATGAAATTATTGTCTAGAGCAAACAAGGACTTGTAACTTGTTTGGAGGAGACTCGTCATGGGTTTCAGGACGGTGACTATGTAACTTTTTCTGAAGTAAAAGGGATGGTGGAGTTAAACGGTTGTCAACCCCGAAGAGTAACAGTTGTTGGTAAGTATCGTTTCTGCATGTGGTTTAATTTTCTAGGACCTGATGTATTTTCCATTGGTGACACGTCTAATTTTAGTCCATACATATCTGGTGGGATGTGTACTCTTGTTAAAATGCCATTAAAAATCAACTTTGTAAGTCTCATATATCTTAGTACTATTTCTTTGCAGCTACCTTATCGGACAGCTTATTATTCCCCAGTTTTCATGACGACAGATTTCGTTAAAACTGAGCGTCCCGCACAAATTCATCTCTTCTTCAAGGCCCTCAGTGATTATAAGAATAGCAACGGATCTCTTCCTAAACCTTGGTGCAGGACTGATTCCCGTACTTTTGTAGACTATGTCCATAAAGTCAATAGACAAATGGAAAACACAAACGCTTCAGTCTCATCAATCGATGAAAAACTAGCTATGCTCTTTGGATTCGTTTGTTCAGGTCAATGTTCCCCCGTCTTGGTATGCCATTAGTTTGGTTTAATTTAATTTATATAGTCTTTTATAGGGAGTTTCGCTGCCCAAGAAGTTATGAAGGCTTGCAGCGGTAAGTTCACGCCGCTGCAACAGTGGATGTATTTCGATGCAACTGAGTGCCTCTCGATAAGTTCAGATGAAGATTTCGTAGTCTCAGAGAATGATGCAAAGCCAATTGGATCTCGGTATGATGGTCAGATTGCCATATTCGGACGTGCGTTTCAAGAGAAGCTGAAAGGATTGAAGTATTTTATTGTAAGCTTTACTTACTTCATATAACTATGTTTACAGGTTGGTTCAGGTGCAATTGGATGCGAGCTGCTAAAAAACTTCTCGTTGATGGGTGTTGGTGCAGGACCGTCTGGAAAAATTGTTGTGACGGACATGGATCTCATCGAAAGATCAAACCTGAACAGACAGTTCCTGTTTCGTCCATGGGATATCCATAAAATGAAGTCAGTCGTGGCATCAGCCGCTGCTAAATTGATAAATCCAGAGGTTGGTCGTATCGTTTGACTTTTATAACGCAGTAATTAGCTTTCCACCATAATATTCTTATAATGACTTACCGCCCGTCATATATCGCATGAGATGTGAATCATTTAGTACTTGAGTTTCCATTGCATTAAAGCCTTGATGGGTTACAAGTTAAAACATTTTAGTAAAAATATCTTATGAATATTAAAATTATGATTAAATTAACTAAAACAGCATCACAATTCGAAATGTGATGTTCAGTTACCATAAATGTCACTCTGATTTTATGAAAGACTCGCTATTCTGTCGGGTACAAAACAGGAATGTTTTAATCTGAGAATTCACGTTTGGGATATCTGGCTGAATGTTTCGTGGTAAACATACAGTCAGTTAGTCAGCCACAACGTAGGACCAGGCACATATATGCATCGGTCCAAGTTGCCATACCTCATTAGCACAGAAAAATGAAAACCGGATTCATAGCAGTTAACGCAATGATTGTAATATGTAAAAGATTTTATGTAAGGATATAGTGCAGTAAGAAAGAATTAGTTCGTAGAAAGATGTGAAGCGATTTTAATCTCATACTTTAAGGGAAGATATAGTGTATACGCCTACGCCATTGTGATCGATTCTGAGCCATGTCACCCAGAGTCTAGCCACTGGCGCGGACCCCAACCGAGTAATCTCCACCTACCAACATACCTAGAAGTTAGTGACTACAACGACTGATGCCACGTCTTGGTTTGGCCACCCCTAACCTTCTTCCAACCGTTTCCAACACTAGTAAGCACTGCGCGTCGTGGTGATCGTTAATCAGGTATACGTAACACGGCCCAACCATGTCAGTCAATGAGGATTCACAACCTCATCAACTGATTCACCATCCTTCCCTAATACCACGCGGCTAACTTCGCCATTACTTACACGGTGATCCCAGCAGATGCTGGCAAGGTTTCGAAAGCATATGTGGTGTGGTAAACATACAACAGTCTGTCATTGACAGGCGTTTCAGAGAAGTACATTAACCTTGTACAGGCTCTCTACTCGAACACTACTGGTCGAGTCAGAGCTTATGGCAAACTGTCATCGAAATTGGCTACTTCAATTGGTGTGCGTTAGGGTTGTCTATTTTCCCTATTTTTATTTAACTTTTTCGTAGACATGTTTTCAGAGATAACACTTTCATCGTCTAACTTTTCGCAGGTTGATGTTTTACGAGTAGATTCACTTAATGACTTTGAATACACAGATGATGTAGTTGTGTTCGGTGAAGACGCTGACAAAATGTAGTCTTTTGACCACGTTCAGGAACAACCAAGGGACGAGCTTACTGTGCAGCGGTTCGCTCCATTCTACTTTGCGGATGTGAAATATGGTGATTAAGAATAGAGGATATTCGTAGGTTACTGGTATTCGATTATTAAATCAGAGATGTCTTGAAAGCATTGTACGTGTGTTTTTGAACCACAAAGTAAGCAATGCTTGTATTAGGAATAAGGTATTAGGTAATGATGAGAAATCAATTAGAGGTAGTGAATCTTCATCAACCAAGGTAGTTGGGACGTGTGTTATGTATGCTGAACCACCGCCTATCTCGATAGGGGTTATTTTCTGGTGTTGAAGTAGGCTGGAAGGAAGCTAGAAGTGACCAAACTACAACATGACATCAGTTCATGAAGTTACTGACAATTGGATTTGGCCATGTTAATAGGCATAGACTATCTGTTAAGGGTCCGCGTATCTATCATAACCACTGGTTAGAGATTTTGAATGAAATTGCTCGAAATCGTTTGCAGTAGTGCAGGTGCACCCGTTCTTTGTCTTCCCTCAAGTTCCGAGGTTCTAAAGTCCTCCATAACTTTTAATTTCACCGATATATATTTTCCTCTCGAATCGTATCTTCGATGCATAATATACTACAACTGACTGTTACTACCTCCACTATTCTGGGAGTTTGCCTGACAATTTCATCTCTGTGCTAATGAGGTATGGCAGCTTGAACCGATGTACATACGTGTAGGTTCTACATTGTGACTGATTGACTGACCAGTCATTTCAACGCTAACATGTTTTATGTAGGGGTTTTGTAGAGATTGTAGAATTTCCATAGAACAAACCACGAACTGATCTTACTTAAGCCACCATTGAGTTCAAGAGACTTTGAACAGCTGTTTCGTCTTATTGTGGTACTCGTACACAATGTGCATGCATGACCCTGCCACGGAGGATCAAATATAGGGTCGGCCTCACGTGAAAACTCGCCCTCTAAACCACTGAACTGTCCAATCCCTCCTAGTTTCCAATGTTGATCGCACTGAAACCAGTCTGTGACTTAAACTAACAAGTTTATTTTATTTTACTAACAATCCCAGTTTCTTATGCTGTAATTTGGGAAAAAGCCTATTTGCCTTGAACCTGCCTATCGCTTTTGTGACATGAATTTAGATTTGTGACTGTAGACTCTAGTAAGAATTTACTGTAAAGAATATTATTCGCCCTACCCATATACAGTCCTTATTTTGATAAATATAGGAATTTTTAAATAATTAAGAATAGAATATCATAGGGAGTAAGTTACTTCGAGGAATGAAACGTATAGCATAATGTTCTGCTCATGTTCGCGTCTATGCAGTTATATAAGCTTTTAAACCATCTATTATTGCTCCTAACCATAAATTACGACTATCATGCAAACTCTGATTGTGTCTCTCAACACCGCTCGGTCTAACAGTTAGTAACTTTGTTAGTCTTCGTATTTCCACTCTTCACTTTTTACCGACTACTATTGGATTAATCGGTCACTGAGGTGTAACGTGTGTCCCAACAATCCCAATCCATAAAATTTCACAATCTCATTAATCAATTCACTCCTAATTCATTATTCTATGCCGGAAATCAGAACTGCTCACCTAGGGACTCCGTTGTATGCTTGTAGTACTTCGTAGACTCCCATAATCAAAGTCAGAATTCAGAGCTTTCCCTACTCATGAATTCTATTTCAAGTGCGTAGACTGCTAAACAGTGAAATTCTGTATAGTATACTCGACAGGTATCAAAATGTTCCGATCATACCACATGTGGCACAAGTTGGCAGTACCCAACGAGACCTTGGGATCCCCATCAATATTTTGTCAGATATCAGTCAACCTAGGGTGGTGGACTTCATGTCTTTAACCCAATCAATGAGGAATACCAATGCCGAAAATAAGAGGTTGATAAGGTCCTCAAGCTGTATAAGTTGCTCGACACACCACTATTTTATTACCAAATTAGGTACTAACTCAGACCACCACGAGACCCGAAGTTTCTGTAAAAGACTGATTCACCATGCTATGTGTTGAAAAATAAAAAAAGATGGAAAGAAAAGGGTGGAAATAACCGGGGGATGAGAAAAATTGTGATTCACTTTCAGCTACCCAATATAAAGGGTGGGGAGAGTTTGCTCTCCCGAATCGCTCTTACAGTCACTGCTTCCTCGTGGCGGGGATTTTGTATGCGGAATCGAGGAGACATAAAGTGGATATCCGGTGCTCAGACCGGGTTAGTCGGTACTGTGCATCCACCTATGGGAGTTGGAAAACCGTGATTCCAAACCAATGGTGCACTTGGGCTTCAGGATCCTGAAAGAACAAATGTCGTATGAAACTGTTGTTTGTCACTGGCTACTATGGAATTGCATCTCCTGACATTGCTTCAGTACACCGTGGATGTGACCTCTGGGTTAAGGAGTCGAGGAGTGGCCCCTTAAGAAATCTACCTGTTTCAGTTCGGGTATTCGGGCAGTATCCCAGACCACACAAATTCAATGATTTGTGTAGCACATGTATATTTTGGTCCCTCATTCGTAAAAATGTGTTTAATTAAATAATATCCACCGACAGACTACATGACTGAGTGTCGTCATTAGTTCAACTCCGAAAAGTTGAATAGGGTTTAACGAAAGCAAAAAACGGGTCTGAAAAATGCTTGTCACCGAAATCTCATTTACCCTAATGTCTTAATAACTGATGAAATCTTGGCGCCATTACTAAGGATCTCTAATTGTGTCTATGTAAATTATGATATATCGCACTTCATGTCCCTGCCGAATCTTACGTTGACTCTGTATGCTACTGTTAGGAGCTATAATCAGTACTAGCATCGTAACTAACTAGACAACTCTTCAAGGTCCGTCGGAAAGTTCCTAGGACTTTTTTGATCTGTTTTAATCAGCTACTGTTTAGAAATATTTTAATCTTAAACAAATGGGAATCGCTTGTCATTTCCGTTATTTTTATATTTCCTAATATAGTACTGTAGAAGCATGTTATATTTATCACGATATAGACCCATGCAAAGTTTTCTACGGTTGGCTTATCCATTTGATAATTTTTTGAACGTCAGGGTTGTGATGTATACGAATTAATGATGACGCGTATTTATTTTATTCTAGCTTAATATTGAAGCTCATGAGAATCGTGTTGGACCGGAGACGGAGAAAATATATGACGACGAATTCTTCGAGAAATTGGATGGAATTGCTAATGCGTTAGACAACGTTGAGGCCCGCACTTATGTTGATCGTCGTTGTGTTTATTATCGCAAACCTCTTTTAGAATCCGGAACCCTGGGAACTAAGGGTAATGTACAAGTTGTTATCCCTTATTTGACAGAATCTTACTCATCTTCACAAGTAAGCTAAACAGTTATAACTTTTTATGAAACATCTAAATGGTCAATTAACGTTAAAGCAGTAATCTGTACTTCTGATCAAAATATATGCTGTATGTCTACTAATAATAAAGCGGTAGCTTAAGCACTTGAATTTAAAACATAAGGTCACTTATTGAGATCCTGAAGTATCTACTTCGATTTGAACAGCTGATTAGTATAACCAGCTCTTGTATTTCAATACTGATCAAACTAACTTGTATCGATAAATAAGTTACATTGCTAATATTATTACTGCTGAGTGACTTGATATTATGTAGAGGTCTATTTTGAGACTAGCTTCGTAAGATCGATTATAAAGGATGTATATAAGTAATCCATTTAATTTTTGTTATATCCCGATGAGAATTACGAATGGTAGACTCAAGAACTACTTATGGACCAATAAGATACATATATTTTTATTGTATAACTGTTAAATAGCTAAGCTATGCATATTCATGTTCCTCTTACTATAAGCGTTATTTTGACTATTATTATTATTATTATTATTATTATTATTATTATTATTATTATTATTATTATTATTATTATCCGATTTACCGTTCTGGAGTTATGCCCAGTCTATTAATTAAAGTCTTCCACATTTGCAGCCACTTTTGGCTAGATCTTGTACAAATATTGTTTTCCATTTTGTGGTACGATGTGGTCTGCTTGATTTGTATATAAACCCAGTATGTTTGAAATACATGATTCATATCGCAGAGGTTGAGGTTAGTGTTCTGGACTCTAACAGGCAGGGATGGACAGGGAGAAGGACTGATAAACACTCTAGACTGCTCGTATAGGTTTACTCGTCATTGGTCCGGTCGATAAATCGCTGTTCTTCAATTGGCAGTATCATTACGTTATATATTAATAGTGCACAAGACCACATGCTATAACAATTGTCAATAAAGTTCGAAGTCTAGCAACAAGTTTCTGAGGTTGTGCTTCTAAATTTGTGCTATTGTAGAACAAATCTTGAAGAAGCTAGTTTTACATTAGACTGATTAGGTATACGAAATCCTTCATCTTTCTTAAGCTTGAGTTTATTTATCGTTCATCCTTTAATTAACCTGAATAGTTAATCTTGAAAGTTGGTACAACGAATCATCAGGATACTTTTAACACTGATATTGGCGTTATACAAATTTAGAAACTTACCAGATATATGCAAGTAGAAAATAGTCAAGTCGAGAATAGCTGTTAGTGAACTCACTTTACTTTTCAGTTAGTCTTGAATTCTTGGTAGTGGCCTTACTTTGTTAATGTTAAAATGAAAGAGGTTCTCGGTGTGTGACTCCCAGTGTTTGTTTCTCGTTTTACAGGACCCTCCAGAAAAATCATTCCCTGCGTGCACTCTGAAAAACTTCCCTTATCTGATTGAACATACCCTCCAGTGGGCACGCGATCTGTTTGAAGGACTTTTCGTCCACCAGTCACAAGCAATGAGTTCGTTTTTACAGGTTAGTTATTCATTACGTTTGCGAAATACTGGGAACACTTGTCATCAAAAATGTCTTGATCTATAAGTCCTAGTACTTTCGTTCAACTCATGATGACATATATTTGTTTATATTTCATACTGGTTAAATTTTGTGTGGCAAAATCCTATTCATATAAGTTCCATTTGTTATGGTCCTTCAATTTAACCAATTAACCTATGACTCGTTTAGTGTGAACTGAACTCATAGGAACTACATTTTACGTGACTGGTAAGCTGATAATGTTGCTATTCAGATCTGGGTGTTTAATACTGTTTAGAAAACAATATATTACTTATTTGATGAAACAGGAAAGAAACTTGGGACAGATGATATCATAAAAGGCCTGAACCCACTCTTGATGGTGAACCATTATAGATAATCGAGTTCATGGGTCTGAGTAGTTGTTTTGGTGCTTGTAGTGGAGTGAAAAATTGGACCAACCTACGTAAAGTTGGGATCCAGAGCACCTTATTTCACTGTGGACAAATGTTGGCGCCGTCCTGATGTTATCCTAACGGTAAATGGTTGTGCCCAGTGCGTTGACAAGGACGGTTATTTTCTGTGGTTGTGAGACAGCCTCTCCGAGTTGAGGATGTTCGGCAGCTATGTTCGATCATTTTTATCTCCAGAGGGCTACTCACTTGCGTTGGTAACCATGTCACTCATAATGAGATCTCCAAGTGTATATTTAAAAGCATTGACGCTAGTTCAATTGATGCAAGTATGCTGAAACACCGACTTCGACAGCGTGTTCATGGTTTAAGAATATTATCCCAATTACTTCCATATTGTGCATCACTTGTCATCTGTGGAGCTGGGTGATGAAGACAGGGTTTCATTTCATGAAATAGCGTTTTGTTAATAAAAATTGCTGCATTAGAGTGGAATTTAGACCTATCACCACTGGGTCGTCCCTTAAAAGTCATGTACCGTAAGACGTCTAATATATTTCACAATATAAGCTAATGGGCATCCGGTTGTGGTTTTTTATTATATTCCTAAAAAATTAGGATTCTCTTCACTAAATGAAGTTTCTCAATCTTGGTTTTCAACTGAGCAATATTTCTGACTAAATCTCGTTCTTGGTTAGTTATTGATTGTACTGCCCTTCTCGAATTTATTTCTTCACATCTTTCTCACTTCATTCACGTAACGCATTTTTTATTGGCCTGTTTTACTAGAATTTGTTTCTCGAAATCAATGGAGTCAAAAGTTTCTTTGTGTATGATACAGTGTGATGTCTGAGTATTTGTCACATGTATCATGTGATAGTTTGTGTTGACGAGTTAGTACTTGAATATCAATTTGATTCTCAAGAAACAAATGCGCTATATTGGGATTGTGACATCTAATATCAGTCATTTGTGGATTCACATTTTCTACGTGTATAGGTCCTTTAATGGCCTTGATAAATGATTATCCATCTAGTTTAAATCTGCTGCATCCACCGTAAACTGGTCAACTGAATAATATAATTACTAATTATGAACCAGACAGTTTGTAAGTTTGCTGTGCTCTTCAGTTTTTATATTCTTCTTATTCAGAACACATAAAAACATAGTAACCAATGAGGATTTGAATAATGTAAGAAATCATTTCCTTTAATCTGAAAATGAGTACATCTATAGGAGTAAAATATTGTAATAGTAATACACTAACCATGAAAATAAACTAGATCTGTTCCAGTCATGTTATTTTCACACCAGGTTTTTGCTACGTTCTGCATGCAATCAATATATAAACTGGAAAAAATCTTGTTTGGAACAATAATTAAAGTCTTGTACCTGCTAATCTCAGATTTTTGAGTTTTTACCTTGATTAGATTAATATGAAACAATCCTGTCCTTATTTCTTCACCTTTTAGGATCCACCTGGCTTTTTAGAACGAACATTATCAAATCAAGGAAATCAACCTTTGGAAACACTAGAAACTTTGAAAACAAATTTATTAGACAAAAGACCAAGTAGTTTCGAAGATTGTGTCACTTGGGCTAGATTACTCTGGCAGGTAAGTGCGAAAATCTGATATGTCTTTATCAAATTTTCACTCATCGTACTTGTTTGCTTGTCGTACCTCATAACTTCATTATTTCACCTATACTAATGATCTCAATGACCCTGTGACTAATTATGGATTAAATTAGGTCCAGCTTGACCTATCTAGTTGTGGTTTCCACCGTTCCAATTTTCTTGATTTTGTAAGTTATATTTCTGCTGCCCTAGTAGTACACAGTAATTTCCTCAAGAGGTATTTCCGATTTGTTGGTTAATATGACAAATAAGCCAGAAATGTGAAACATCAGTACAATGTCTTTAAATCATTTACTTGTTAAGGAATTCATTTTCAATATTTCTCACGTGGTTGCTGAATAAAACTCTTGAGCGTTTCGATTTCAATGGCTGTCTTTTCCGAAGTAACAAACATACATGCCCGGTGTTTTGTTCGCATTACTTTTTCAGGCTCCAATTTGAAACACTTACCATGATTTTAGAAATATCTAAAACAGCTACTTAAGGAGAGTGCTGTTCATCGAGGTAAGAGCTCTCTACAACAAGTCAATGGAATCGTGTATACCACACTAGGGGGTAACTAATTATTTGATTAAGGTTTTTGTAGTAGTTTAGCTAGTGGATGATTGGGAACTTTACTTGCATTTGGTGGAATTTCATTTCCTGACCTGGATGGTTTGGTTGCGGAGGTCAGCGTTTTTTTAAACAACATCAGCACAAACTTCATGTCGACCAAACCATCCAGTTAAGAGAACGAAACCCCACCGAAATCATTCGTCTGGGCTATAAATCTTCACCATTTCAACTCTGCTTGCATTTTGTTTAAGACCTACATTTTTGTAAAATTTGACATAACGACCCATCTTATCATTACAGTTAAAATCTTCAGCTAAGGTGGTTCTATCTTCACTACAAGTATGGGTTCATAAATCATTTATTTTTATTATATTCCTTTGAAGTATTCATATCGTTCGGATAAACACTAGGTTTGTTCAACTTCCTCTAGAGTATACTAATCTGTACTCGATACAATTTAAGTCCATCACAGTGTAAAATCTCAGCCTTACGATTCTTTTAATGCATAGAGTAAATATACTAGAGCACTTGAAGTCGTTGGCTATTCAATATTCTACAATTAACTAGTGAATAAAATTTTGTTATTTGATAGATATGTTTAAAGTGAGTTTTCTTTTAGGATTTGTTTTCAAACACAATCGCACAACTTTTGTTCAATTTCCCTCGTGACCATGTCACTTCAACTGGTTCTGATTTTTGGTCAGGAACCAAACGATGCCCTCATCCATTGCAGTTTGATGTAGAAGATGTGAGTTTTTCTTTTGACTTTGTCCAAATTAAATTTGTTTTTACTCAAGTTCGGAAACACACTACTGTACATAATGAAAAAAGCATACATCAATTCATTTCACAAATGACTTTTTTCGTTTATTCCCGGTTACTCATTGTTATCACCGAATTTCTAGTAATCGTTTATTCTAGGGTTAGAAAATTTTTCTCAACCAATTATCTGTCATCTCCACTTGTATGTTAATGCTATTCCATGTATCTATGATTAGTGTTTGAAAAGCTTAGCTGGTGAATAATTGCTTCTCATATTACATGCGGCTTAAAAACGAACACGACCGTTTGAGCATGGGTCGCTGATGTGCCAAAAATGTATACGAATTTTCGAAAGACTTCTGTTAGTTAGTATGTGTGATAGCTACAGTTTTCAGTGTGGAATTCGAAATGCTAATCAACGAAAACATTAAACAAAATGCTTGTTCATCCCACAACTAAATAAAAGCCATTTAGACTACGTTGTTTTATAGCAACATATGCAGAATAACTTCTGTCTATAACATTTAGACCAAACAAATTCATTATTGTTTATCAATCTTCTAGATGGTTAAGTAATGTCAATAATACCCTCAAAATGCGGTTAGGCGATAACTTTACGTCTAATAATGTACAAGGTTGCTAAGTTACATTACGTTACACTGTTTTCGAAGTTCACGAACAGCTGGGTTTTCGATATTTTGGGTGCAGTTTGAACCTCAAACTTTTTTAACCAATTTCACCATAAAGACCCACAGTTCGTAAAAACTCGAATTGCATATTTGATGTTTTAATTACAGACAACACATTTGGAGTTTATTTCGGCGGCTTCAAACCTTCGCGCTGAATGCTATGGTATCCCTCAATGTCGAAACCTGTCCAAGATTTCCGAAATTGTTCAAAGTGTAGTTGTCCCTCCGTTTGTTCCTCGATCAGGCGTACGGATTGATGTAACCGAGGCAGAGGCTCAAGCAAGGTCAGCTGCACCTATGACTGATACATCTCGACTTGAAAAACTTCAGAAAGCTTTACGTAGCTTCAGTAAGTGCTTCACTATGTGCCAGCTACAAAAAGTACCTATTTTTGTTTTCCTATTATATCGGTGCATACTTTCAGAGAATTGATTCTCCAGTATTTATTTTTTTACATATTGTGAAATACAGGTGTTTTTTTCTAAATACTTAACCAGTCTAACTTTAACCGTTTTATATTTTGGATGCGTCCCATTTCTAGCTCAATAAAAAAGTGATTTGATGCGTTTGGCGATATGGTCCAAAATAGTTAGCATAAGCGTAGGTGTTCCAATTCTACATTGACATTTTCTTATTTCTTTGCCCTTTCTTATACCCCTTGTTATTCAAATATCCTTCCATTATTTACTCTGTTAAAAATTGTGGCAACTCGAATGTGTAAATTTTAATGTGAGATTTTACACTAATATTTTCGTTCTATATATTTAACCCTAAGAAGTATACAAGCGCTTCAACTAATGTCAAAAGATTTATTGGGTTATGTCGATGATGTTTTCAATAGTCACGAACTCCAAGTCTTAGTTGATTAAGTCTCTACACAATATTTGTTTACAATCATTTCTTCAGTGTGGTCTTACCACGGAAAATCTAGGTGTATTCAATTTATCAGATATCGTTTTTTTGAAGTACAAATTGACTTCACTAATGTGACCGACTAATTAATAAGTTGGATATTTATTAGATGACTAGATAATTTTTCTAAACTATAAGTCCTTCTTTTTAAGTTAAAGGCGTTACAAAATGACGCTACACTGGCACTAGGGTGTTTTGTTTATAAGAAACTGTTGAATAGCCTGATATTTTTGTGTTCGCTGTGATTTCATGTTTGTCGTTTTGGTTTCATTTTTACTACAAAGGCAACACTTCAACATTGCATATCAACGTAATTGAATTTGAGAAAGATGATGATACAAATTTTCATATGGACTTCATCACCACAGCAAGCAATTTAAGGGCCGAGAATTATGAAATCCCTCCAGCTGATCGACTAAAAAGTAAATTAATTGCTGGTAAAATTATCCCTGCAATCGCAACTACAACTAGTTTGGTGGCTGGGCTGGTATGCCTAGAACTACTTAAGGTTTGTAATTATATTTCACCATAATTGTACTTTTCTGTATTTAAGTGATTTGATTTTGTTTCTTTATGGCCAGTGTTATCGACAGACGGTGATAAGTTGTAGATTGTCAAGTGATTTGCTAAAAGCTGTCTTGTATATTTATCAAATGATATAATCTGTAATTGTTGTCTTTTAGTTGCAGAAACATTCTTTTTTACGGGATAATATGAAACGGGGTAGCTAACAGAGTTACTTGTTAGTTATCGACATACTGTAACAATATTTCCATGTTTAAGTTTTTTGCACTTGAGAGTCGTTTCCTTACACTATGTTGTGAAATCCTTACTAGTTGTAACTATTTGTTCACTTCATTTTTCATGTTACTTTTAGCTTGTTCAAGGACACAAAAAGCTCGAACTGTTCAAAAATGCTTACGTCGATTTAGCGTTGCCCTTTACTTCATTTTATGAACCTGTAGCACCTATCAAGTCAAAATACTACGATACAGAATTTTCTTTATGGGATCGGTTCGAACTTTCAGGCCCTATGACCTTGCAAGGTCTGATTGATTACTTCAAAGTAAGCCTGCTTCTTCATATCCAAACTAATTCACTCTCGTTATTTTAGGATAGATTGAAGTTAAATGTAACAATGCTATCGCAAGATGTTTCTATGCTCTATGCATTCTTCATGCCAGAAGCAAAGCGTAAGGAACGTCTAGTTATGTCGTAAGTTCATTTTATAGTTTTGTTTCATATTTTACGGATACCATAGATAACCGCATAGTATTTAGGTGACAGTTGACCAACGATGTATATCTTTTTTGAATTAAATAGTTCGGAAGCATTTTTTGAGCAGAGATGGATAGTGATGGTAGCCGTCAATGGAATAGAACTGCTAGCCACCACCCATCTCCCCCCGAGAAAATGCTTTTGACTTAGTTGCAATATCTAGGCAGATATACCCAAAGAGGCTGGTCAACTACAGTCCAAAACGTCAATGGGAAGATTCAAATAACCAATATATGTAGATTAAATGGTTCAAATTTATGAGATTAATTTGCCACTAAATACAATATCAAATCGATTAGTTGTAGATTAGTTGGTGACAAAACAATTTTTGATGTGGTGGGTGTTGTTTTCGTTACATGTGTTTCTCAGAGAGTATGGAGTACCATTGTTGTTTATTGGACACTACTTAGTTGTCGGAAACAAGAATTTAGATTGAAATGTTGGGAAAGATTTGAGCTCAGATGGATGATCTCAGTAGAGTTTCGTTCTCTAATATGGATGGTTTAGTTTTGGAGCTTTCGTTGTCCTTCTGGATAACATCAGTAAATAATTCCGATGGAAGCAAAGTACTCGAATTTCTTCACATTTAATCAACATCACTAAAAACATAAATTTGAATTTTATTTTGCATGCAATTATTGCACTGAAATTTCAACGGCTTGGTAGTTGGCAAAATGGTTTTAGAAAATGTATGTATTAAATACTTGTTGTGTGTTGGTTCTCAGCCACAGTTACCATGTGTAAATGAAGTGTTAAGTCCGGATACATCTGAGCTGGATTGGTACTTTTTAATGACAAAGTGTAATAGTTAAGGAGTAAAATATGGTAGTTCAGATATACATACTATTTTCGTCATATTCCTAGATTAAAAGGATCGGGTTATTAGAAAGTTTTGCTTATTCGTCAGTCAGTCATAATCAGCGCAGAACCTGGCATATTTGTATATCGGTTTAAGTTGCCATGCACTATTAGCACAGCAAGACAAAATCGTTAGAACAAACCATAGACTAGTAGAATTATTGACCGTAATAATGGTAGTTTAAAGGATTAGCTGTCGAAGTTACAATTCAGTAAATAATTATAGATTAGTGGGATAATTTTATAGGGTAATCTAGAAACTTAAGAACTAAGTCAAGACAAGGAGTGAATGTACTTGCGTCATTGGAAACGATTTAGAACACTGTCACTTGAAAGCCAACCATTGTTTACGATGATCAAGCCTACCTCAACCAAGTAGTCTACATTTACCTATATTAGCCAGTCGAACAGTCAATATCTTCATGGACTGATACCCAAGTCTTGGCTCGAACTCCGCTAGCTTCTAGACTACTACGCCATCCGTTATCGCTCATCGAGGTAGTTGGTGGATGAGGATACGGAACACATGTTCTCACCATCTCAGTAGATGTATATTCGCTATATTATCTATCCATTAACCATCATTACCTCGTACTATGGGTATAACCCTAGAATTGCTATCTCATAGTCTTCAAAATATACGAACGATTGTTTGAAGACACATTTAGTTGAATATTAGTAACCTATAAATATCCTTTTCTAAGAATCACATTTACAGCCATGAAATAGAATGAAGCAATTTAGTTTTTAGTTCAATTGTTGTTCCTGTCTACCAAGGACAATCATTTCGAACCAGCCAACATTTCGCAAATATATTCTCTCTGTATATTTCCATATGTTTCACATAATGTATTTTCTTTTCTTTCTGTTCACTCAAAACCTATTTGACTAATACATATAATATTATGGAGACTAACCGATGTACATGTGTTCCCGATCCTACGTTGTTGTAGCCGACTAACTGACTGACGGATACGTATAATATCATGAAAGCATTGGTTAGGAGCTCAAGATTTTTATAATACTCAATCAGGTGTTATTATTAGTGTGATTAACTTATCTAAAGTTATATGTTTCGAAGTACTTTTGTATATTAAACATGAACCATGTCTATCATTTCTTTGAATGTTTTCATTTCAAATCAATATAATTACATCGTAAACCTTGGAGTAACATACAAGGAGCCCATGCCGCTAGTTTATGGGGTGATCACTGGATTCTCTTTCACTTTTACTTTAATGCTAAGTGATTAGAAAATATCAAAGTCCCATAGAATGATTATCCAGTTTTCTATTGCTTTAATGTGTATTTTTTTCAGATTAAAAGATCTGGTGGAAGTAGTCAACAAACGCAAAATACCTCCCCATGTTAAAGTACTGGTATTTGATGTCTGTTGCAGTGATGAGCATGATAAAGATGTTGATGTGCCATATATCCGCTATGTACTGGAACCAGCCAAATAAAGTTCATTTATTCATGTCTTTCTCAAATAATACAGGTTTCAAATTGATGATTACTCCTTTACGAAACTAAACTATTTTTCACCCATTTTAATTTATGGAATATTCCAAAGACAATATATGCTTTCCCTATTATTTGTGTACTAGCTGTGTATGAATTAACACGCAAATAAAATGAATAATCAATTAATTTTTATGTATTCTGAGAATACAGAAAGCTATGGACATAATCTTTTTACTCAATTTTACCGTATATCAATTTGTATAATCTAAGTTGATATTTATGTCGAGCATCAGTTTTTTCTCTGCAATTGACTCATTTTTCGTATAGAAAGCTTTAAAATATATGTTTACTTCCGAATGATTTAACTTGATGGATTATTTTCTTTATCAGTTTTCTTTATTCAATGTTCTAATTTCGGAGTGTTAGTTATCAGCAATATTTACAAATACATGGTTTACGTTACTAGCAATTTGCGTTGTGAACATCATATTTCCTACAATCTATGGCGCGCGTTCTGTTTTAATTTATTGAATCCTTGCCACCAAATGCCTTTGTACGACCAAGGGTGGGGGAGAGTCACCTCTCCCTCTCAAAATACTCTCACGTGGCCACGCGTGTACAGCCACTACCAGGGAAATCCTACTCACTGCCTTCTCGCGGTGGGGTGTTGTTCACGGAATTGAGAGGACGAAAGCGAAGGTCTGGCGCTTTAACCGGAGCCCAAACCAATGGTGCACATGGGCTCAAGTATCCTGCAGGAACAAATGGCGTATGAACCAATCGTTGGTCACCGACTACCATGGGACTGCATGTCCTTACGATGCTCCACTGCCTTGTGGATCAGACTTTCAGGTCGAGGGCTTCGGGTGTGGCCCCCTACGAAAACCACCTGGTTCAGTTTGGGCACCCGGGCAGTAACCCAGTCCTCACATTAATCGAATGATTTGTTTGGCGTATATCTATTTGGCGCCTCCTTGTACCAACGCTTATGTGTTTAAATAAATAATAATAAAGTTATCCGATCCACACACAAGGGGTTGTTAATATCCGTACAATAGGGGAGCTACATGTAGGATTTCTGGAATATTCTTCCAAAAGATGACGAAATAACTTCGGCTCTTTCTGAGCTTAGAGCTTCCTCAAGTTCACCCGTGGACCGTCCTTACACTTTCTCTTTAAGTTTGTTGTGTAAGACGTTTTTCTCGGATCCACCTGAAACTTTGTTACCGCATACCTCTTGCGGTCCATCACTCTCAAAGGTTGTACAGCCTCGCCCGTGCGTCTTTTATCTCTTGTACGTTCGTGCTACTGAGGGCTTTTTCGAGATGAATCCACGAGCAATTCAAACGGTATTCGCTTTATAGGATCAGTGTTCTATCGTCCCTTTGAATTGGATTCATTTGTCTTATACACGTACCAACATTTCTCTGGATTAGGTACAGCACACTTCCGATCCGACATTCTATAACACCTGGTTCCCATTTCCTATTACCTTGATACGATTTGACATGGACCTGCTTAAGGACTTGGTGTCGAAGATTTCTGGGGATAACGAGACGGTGGTCAAACATGATGCACGAATCGACGACTGTCAAAGGATCTCGTCGTCGAAAATATTGTAAGAGCTCGCCATGTAGCGTAGATGAAAGCCACTTGTTGAGTATGTATCGGCGAACAACCTTCAACGCATTACCCTTCTCACTAGCTTCTTTAATGGCTTCGAACGTGACCGGAAGTCCGAAAACTGCGTCTGCCAGTACTATGTGAAACGCAGCCTCAACATCTACGGCAGCTACAAGCACCTCTTCTTGATTCGCATGGGGACCAATTAATCTTGAGAAGGCATCTGCTTGTCCAGAATCCGTTGTCGGCTGATACTTTATCTTGAAATCAGCCCAGCACTGATGGTTTAAGGTATTTTCTCTTTCGTACATATTACGATGTTGCGTTATATGGTAATGAGGCCAGTAATTTTATATCAGATTCAGAATAGAGAACCAGATTAAAACGAGATAAATCTTTATTTAATACAACTACAAGCAGTCTCAATGAGTGCGGAGTACAAATCAATAAGAGGAAAGGAAATCACGTATTCACTATGCTGAGTGTCTGTGCGTCCGCCCTGTGACCAATCATACTTTACTTCCACTACTGCATATCATTATATTTCTGACACTGATACAAAGTCATTGGGGAATGCTGATACGTTAGTAGCTTATAGTTAAACAACAACGATACGTAGCCTCAAGCTGTTATTTCCTATGCCCTGTCAAATATCATGTGACAAATCAACAATCAAAATACCGACTTCTATGTCCTTGTTCCACAATAAACCAATAGTACATTAATCAGCACTAGCAGGTTTGTGTGAACTCTTATTGGTCTTCTGAATGGTAACTTCTTGCCTAACCCAGCCCGTTCAGTTCAGAACAAAAATATTAGCTCCCACCATACTAATCGTATATTTTAGACACGCATGGTTTTCATACAAACAGATTAGACTTTATCACACCATAAGATGACAGCTAATTATTATACCAAGATCAAGCCAAAAATGGCTGTGAGTCTAGGAGACCTTATTTAACACTTTGGGAATAAATTAAGAATGGTAAATAGTATGACTGTAGCCAATAGGTCAGACGAAAGCTTATGATAAAAAGGTATATATATATATATATACTTAATAATTATTCATTAAGAATGTATGAAATAATAGTCCATAAATAACTTCTAGCAGTTAGCATTCATTTATTCTTCGCTTCGATATAGCAACCCTTTTCGTAAACAAATCAATTTCATATATTACTTTGAGTAACACTCATTCCATCAGTACAACCTTAAGTTAGTAATCAAGGGACTCTGGAGTGGCTTAATGATTATTATGGTAATGGCTAAACGTAGATTGATTAACAGGATTTCTATACTTTAACTGTCTGGTCCTACACAGTTTGTAATAGTAACTACTTTCGGAAGTAGTTTCTTTATCAACCGAAAATTAAACATTTATAAGAAATCAACGAAAACGAACACCATATTTTTATTTAACCAACTGCTGGCTGATTACAGAAGCAACTGTTGAAAAGTATAATTTATTAAGATTTTAAAAACATAACGAGACTGGATTTCATTTTTCAGCACATTTATTGGTCCCATATTTACAAGGTTTTACATAAGGGTTATCTATATATATCATCTCCTGAGAATTATCTCGATTCCGAATTTTTGAAGTGAAAATGTCGGTGACAGTTATCATTTTACAGGTAATCTACGTGAAACAATCAATGCACATTAATAAATTAGACTGTAGTGTATTTTTTATAACTGTTCCTTTATATAAAACATTAGGAGTGATAAAGAGGCTGAATTGGAGACTTTTCCTAACATGTCATTTAGTTGATGAGTGAAACAACTTATCATTCCATCTAAATTTTTCACTTAAATATATATAATATTCGATTGTTTTTAAGGTTTTAACTAAGATTTGGATTTTAATAATTCACATCAGAACGTTTTAAAAAAATATCAGTGCCAAAACCTGTTTTATATTGAAATTTATTTTTAAGGCCTAGATTCATAGTCGAAAAATACTACTCATAGTGAAATGTAAATAAGCAGTAATCATATCAATAGAAAAAGTAGGAAATTATATAATCATTTTGATTCGACGGGATGTTAAGTATACAACTAGGAACATGAATAATTAGTGAATTGTTTGTTTCGAAAAGAAATAAATACATTAATAACTATGGATATTGGGAAGATGAATTGAAATGGGATGAGAGTATCAAGCACAATACAAAACTTACCTATAACTAGTGTAAAAACAAAAACTGGATTCATTTCTTATGTATACAATCGTTTGATATTAGTTCATGAACAATTTTGGCTAATATAAATGTCGATTTGACAAAGAAGATATCTTTGGAAAGTTGGATAATCTCTGATTGAAACATATCAAAGCAACTACTATCTTTAGTCGTTTTTTTATGGAAAATCCTTGAGCTACAGATATATATATTTAGTCTTGCGCATCTATGGATCTGTCTTTTTGATATAACGTGGCTAATCAATAATACGTTTTAATTCAGGATTGCTTAGAATCTGTAAATATATTCATAACAAATTAATCGCAGTATTATACATCTTGATGACCAACAGGTCCTTTAGCGACTGGTTGTCGTAACTACAAATATGATATGAAAATAATAAATCAGATGAAGCTTGTTGTTTATAGGAGATTGAATCATTTGATAATAATTTGATTTTGATACTTCATTTAATTGTATATTAAGATGGTTTTGCAGTTCAATTGTTTTTCGCTTTTAAAGTAATAATCATGTTTCTAATTACAGTGATTATTTTTTGTTTTTTTAGAATTGTTTGACAGAATTTTAGGAAATGTAATTTCTATACATTAAAATGTTTAGTGTTCATTTATTTGTTTGACTTATTACCCTCAGTATTTCAGTTTTGCTTTTCTTTAGACATTATCACTTTGTTTTACATTCACTATTTGGAAATAAACCCTGATGATTAATAATGTACAAAATTATTGTCTAGAAATGAGCTTACGAAAGCATACAATCAATGCAGTGATTTAATTAGCTACACTAAAAACATATAAACTATACACAGTAGTAGAACAATTGGAAATGATTTCAAAATTGGTATTTATTCACAGCGAATGTATTTATCAATTTAGTGAGCATAAAAACAAAATTCTATTCCTAGCATTATGTAAATTAATGATCATGTTTTACCATTTAGTAGATCTGTTCTAGTTAGATATCAATTTAACCAGGAAGTTGCTTGTATATAAAAATTAAGAGAAAACATCTTTGATATTTTCGCTTGTTTCCTAGCAAGTCTTTTTGATTAACACAATTCTTGAGATTTCCTGATAAAGAGGAAATCCTTAAAGATTACTTGGAATAGTACTGCATGAATTTAGTAAGTACCATCCAAAATACGTTATTACGATATTGATTTATTCAAGAGCTATTTCACACTTAATAAATAAACCGTCAGAAATCCGCTAAAGATTTTTTCATGATCTTGAAAAAAAGGCGTATTCAATTAATCTTAATTACAAAAGCACACACATACTAAAAAGATTTGTTCCGATTGTGAACAAATGATTTATTTTCAATGCTTACAACTGTTATTCATAACAAATCCACATTTTATTAATTGAATTCGGTTTCTTTTGAATCAGATTTTTATGTACATTAATCATAGTTCATCTTTATATTAATAATTTTTTTCTAGTATGATAAACAATTTATTGCTTACTATCACGAACAAGAAACTAAAATGTTACTTTTAACAAGGGAATTATTAACAACAACAATAACAACGACAATAGTTGAAGAATAAGATGGAGCGATTCCATTCAATAAATTCATATTCGTATACATATATATATATATAAATAAAATACTGGC